AAGGGCGCGCGTGTGGGCCTTCGCAGCATTACGGTCTATGAATGGACAACACCCATTCGTACCATCACCTTCTACTGAGCACGCCAAGGGAAAAACGAGGGTGTAGCGGCTCGAAATATCAGCAATCTGTCGATGCTAGCACTACTCACCAATCAACGGTCAACAATCGGTTGGATCGCTTCACTGCGGGAGATACTAGCCTTCGGAGTTACGCAAGCATCGTTCCTTAATTTAATGGAGGTTGAAGGAATCCATCCACTATGAGTTGCTAAACGCACACTAGATGGACATAGCTATCGCTTGCCCCTATGATCCTCTTTATTTGGCCAACGAGTTTAGAGAAGGGCGATCAAACCGTAAATCAGGTCCCTACAGAGGGACAACGCATGTCGAAATTTCGCTTTAAACACGCGTCAAAATTTCCACGATTCCAATTGGTTCCAGGTTGTTCATCAGTCTTACTCCCCAAGTGTTGCCCCTTTTACCTACCATGCGCTCCGCCTCCTTGAGCATCCCGTTGTGGAAAAAAACTCGTAACTTAATGTGATCCAAAAACGGCAGTCAATTACTCTTTGAGTCACAGCTCCCTAACTTCTGAAGGGAGTGCATCAGTGATTGGCTCCAAGGATTAAAGGAGGTTGTCGACTTCTTCGGTCAAATTTTTTCCGGGAATTGACTGATATGAAAATTTAGAAATGATTAAAAAAAGGTCTCCATTTTGTCGCAGGACTTATTTGCCAACCTAATATTTTTTGTTTTATTCATCTATATTTCCATTTTTTCACAATTTTTCTTCTCAAAACATTACATCAGGTCTAAATGAAACTACATACAGCGTGGTCCTAAGAACTCTTCTAATTCTACAATTGTAAAGATGTTTTTCCGAAGGAAAACATTACCTTGGTGAATTATTCGTTCATTGAACAACTTCAAAAAATGAGATATTTCTGAAAGACGGTCGTCATTAACATTTTCGCTTTCATCAACCAAACGCAAAGCTCCCAACGCAACGCAAAAAAAAGTTTCCCGGAACGATTTCTGGTAATAATTTAACTCATAATTGAATGACTACTAGAACGAGTGCTGGTTCCATAATAAAGATCAATAATCACTCTATGTGGGCATTTTGACCAAACCCATTTGAAGGACTATTCCTAGAAACCTAGAATTTTCTCTTATAAACTTGAAAAAGCGGTCATGCTGGACCATGAAGTCCACAAAAGGGCTGCAGTCGCGGGTGGACAAAAAGCGCGCCGGTCCCTCGCGGCGTTTTCCCGCAAAACGCCGTGGTCGTCAATGGGTTAAAGGTATTCAGTCTATCTTGTAATGGATTATTCGTGTGCCCATTTTCCAAGCACAACATCAGCTGTTAGTGAGATTATGGAGTAAAGCATGTCGTGATATGAATTGATACATTGGAATTTGACCGGCTATTATTCACTATTAAAAACTTACTATTCATATACTGCAAGCCTGAGCCGTTATCGAATCACTGGGCAAAGAATCTACCGGTCAACCGGCTCAATGGCTTAGATGGAAGGCTTGCATTTCATTTTGAGGGTTCGGATCCATTGTCCTGCACATCGCTCGCAAACGCTGGAAAACGACAGTGGATAGTGAGGAGCGCTTTTCTGAATTGTTTCGGACGGTTTCTGTGTCACTTTCCCAGTTTCCGCATGCAAGGAGCCGGGGGAGTAGGGTTATAATGGCAGCTTTGGATTACAGAAAATAACGTCTCACGTGAGTCAAAGTGGTGTTAATGATATTCAAAGGTGAATTGTATTTTTGTAAAACGTTGTCATGGTCTTTAGGCCAGCTGCGCACCATTAGGCAGGGGACATGCCCTCGAAAGATGCAACAATAGCGAGTGCGATGGGTAAACAGAGGATGGTAGTGAGGGATCGACTACAAGGTTGGCCATAATTATAGCAACAAGACTTGTTGCAGTTAGCGTACATTCTATCGCGTACATAGCGCGCCAGTTTTACGGATTTTTAAATCTCATCATTTTTTCTATTCTTGCTAAAATTTTGTTAAATTTGGTCCACTCATAGTGAAATAGTGAAGCCTTCTCCTGATCGTTCCGCTATCGTTCGTCGGCACAAAGCCGGCCGCCCACCCGCCACGATCGCTAGGCACCTCGGCATCTACCGCAGCGTCGTGTATCGCATACTCCAACGTTATGGAGACCTTGGTGGACTCTAAGATCGCCGAAGAAGTGGAAGACCTCGTACTGCTCGCACGCCGAAGGTCGTCAAGGCCGTCAGAAAGCAGATAGCAAGAAACGCGACTGGGAGCATCTCGACGATGGCTCGCGACATGGGAATCTCGCGGAAGTCAATGGAAAGGGTCTTTCACGAAGACCTTAAGATGTACCCCTACCGTACTCGGAAGGCTGCTATCCTCAGCGCCTCGAATCAGTAGGCGCGAGTCAAGAAGTGCCAAGAGCTTTTGCTTCGGACGCCCAACAAGGGCCACCATTCGATCGTCTTTTCGAATGAGAAGCTCTTCACCGCCGAGCAGCAGTTCAACGCCCGAAACGTCAGAGTGATCGCAAGGAATGCCGAAGAAGCCGACAAAAGGGAGGAGTCGGTCATCGGGCCGCACACCGTGCCCAAGTCATGGTTTGGGCAGGGGTGTGTGCCTCGGGGAAGACGCCGTTGATATTCGTCGGCGTCAAAATCGACAAAGATTACTAAATGATGACGATTCTGGGAAATGCTCTACTCCCGTGGGCAAATTCCCACTTCAACGGCCGCCAGTGGACATTCCAGCAAGATTTGGCGCCCACCCACAAGGCCACAGTCGTCCAAGCGTAGTGCAAGAGCGAACTCCCCGACTTCATGTCGGCAGAAGAATGGCCGGCATCGTCACCGGATTTGAACCCACTAGACTATAACTTGTGGTCTTACTTTGAGAGCAAGACCTGCGCCACTCCCCACCCCAATTTGGATTCACTGAAGGGAGCGATCATCCGAGAATGGGACGAAATCGTCGACGCACTCCTGCGTCCGGTCATCGACGCCTTTCCCAAGCGACTACGCGCTGTCGTTCGTGTCAAAGGTGGCCGAATCGAGAAGTAACTTATGATTGTCAATGTACCAGTTATTACTTGATAAAAGTTATGTTCATGACTCGTTTGCACCTCCTCTTTCTGAGATATAAGATGAAAACCTTACCGCTATATTCATGGCTAACCCTGTACTTCAGCGCCAAGTTGGAAGGCAGTCATCTATCATCAGAGGTATCCACAATTGATGACTAATAACAATGATTGCTCAAATGTTAAGAGTTGATGATGATTAACAAGAGGGATTTTTCGGTCGTGGCTTTTTTCCTGACTCATAATAGCTGACCAACATAAGAAGCAATCGTAAAATAAGCATCAACTAAAAATTAACAGAAAATCTGGAACGAGAAATCTTACAACCACACATTTTCGGGTTGTTCTGCACGTACCACGTTTATCAGGAGTTCTAAGGAGTTTGATTTTTGGGAATGTGGACCACAATTCGAGCCGTAATTGTTCGAAATTCGCCATGAAAGGTATCAAAATAGTAACAGCATCATGGTTCCCCCTAATGTATTGTCATGCATGTTTCCAAAAAGTTCCAATTGAAAAGGATCGTTACCATGCGGTTGTATCCGCAGGTAACATATTATGCGCTAGAAGATTCATCAAGACATCAATATCCCTAAAAATAAAGACCAAAAATTCGAAAAAAATTAAATAAATGGCATATCGTATTCATGAGAGAAACTTTCCTATTTTCAACTTAATAGGAGCAGTTCAGCGGAAATAATTGCGGAGCGACAGATCCCGACTCGTGCAGATCAATCCGTTTGCGACGGATTAATCTGTCATGAACGGGTTGATCGCTCAAACCGAGACTGACTACGAATTAGTAGCAGTACTTCAGCTGTCAAAAGACTATAGGCCCACATTTTATGCGTTACCCTCAAAGGCCAGATTGACTAATACCAACCCTTTGTTATTACAGTGGTGTCTACAATAAAAAATTCCCTCTAAGCTGATAATCTGCGAGAGAAAATACCACACATGATTCTAATGATAATTTACAGTTGGAAATAACAAACACTCTCTAAGATAGTGTGTATAGGAAGCTTCACTTCACTTGAACTATACCAGAGGTTGGAAATGGTGTTCAAGAGACATGAACTACAGGTATCTGTGGCTCAAAAGTTCGAAGTAGACAACCAACTGTATTAGCCTTATGAATCTTTTCAACTTCCGCAAGAGTATTTCGGTATAGTGTTTAGATAAAATGGATGCGAAGGGAAAGTTATTGATTGACATAAGACACAATTTGTGAGAGGTCTCGGTGAATAAATTTTCAGGTTGAATTGTTTACGGAACCGCTTATCTATCTGTGTGACGGAGATCAAGATTATTCAAGTTCAGAGTGAATGTGCTGCCGATAAGTTTGAAGGTCACGACAATTCTGCCACTGTATCACTTATGATGACATTCCGCCTTTCCCGTCAACATCATCCAATAAACTGAAAACTCACTGTTGTAACAAGACACCTGTCGAGTGATTTATTCAAATTCGCTCGCACGCTCAATATAAACATAGTAAAGGGAGATGAAGCATCCCGAACAGAACAGACAAAGCAAATGAAGGAAAGATATCAAAATTTCAGACTTCTGAGGATTATTTCTAACGCACCCCTGACCACTGCCTCAGCCTCCCACTTTCCCAGTACCGCTTTGACAAGTAGTACCCAGGTCTTGTAGGTGAATATGGACATTCCAATCGAGTCTCTCGTAATGAATGGATCTTCGAAAATTGGTAGAACTTTCAAGCCGATTCATAAATTACTTCGATATATTTTATGCAATATGTCTCATTGTAGGTCAAAAAATCGATCACTCATTCCTTCATATGGTGAAGTTTAACCATTTTGGGAGCGCAAGGCCTCTTTTGTGTGTGATAGAAACCAGATAAAAAAAATCAGCGTCCAACTCGCAAGAAATCTCACACTGGCAGAATTTTCCCATCGTATACCTCAAGCGTGGATGTTCCCGACCAAAATCCACCTCCATAAACCCAGACCATTACAGCAAGTCTTCTGTTCGCATTAACCTACAAACAATGGCGAATAATTCCGGCTTCAAAACCTAACGAAGTCAACATCCAATCGTGAGAGCATTACCATTACCAAACTGTAAGAGCAACATCTCACCTTGCCAGGGACAAACACATTCAAGTAGAGGCAATCTTCAGACGTTGGGGTGTTGGCATTCCACATGGTCGCTCCATAGAATTCCCCGAAGTACGTGTCGAAACTCTGCATGAGTCAATTACGTTATGAGAATCTCGGTGTCAATTGGGCGGACAATTTAATAGTGGTAGTGAATGGTAGGACTTGCTTTGAAACAATTTCTACGTTTTGACTAATAAAATCATGGCAGAAATCTACATATGACATAGAATGCGATGAACAATATCGCGGGACACTGACATGTGGTAGGTTGAGATGGCAAGCAATCCTCGGTGGAGTCAAGGTTTTTGGTCGTAATTCAATTCCCTTCACAACAAATTCTATTGATGCACTTATGCAAAAACCCAAAAACTATTAGCTTCATCGCCCACATGTGGCTGTTTATCCTCGAGAGATCTTCTTGCTCTGGCTAGCCCTTTTCAAACTCTTATTCTCTTCGTTTCGAATGACCTCGCACAATACCATGTTTGTTTTTGTTTGTTGTGTTTATTCGGTTATGCGAAAACGTACCGCGCTATAAAAACGGAATAGAACCAAAACACAATGATTAACACAATCTGAGGTGCTTCAAATGACAAAGGAAACGATGATTATAATAAGAGGCAACGGAGAAAAAAAAGTCTGATTCTAAAAAAGAAGTTAGAAGTTTTATCATAGTTAAGTGAAAACGGAAAACATAGATGGAGAGGACAGCTTCAGCAAACGCTCAAGTCCGCAAAGGCTAAGACTCCCTTCCGAGAGCGGGCATCGGCCGTTCGGAAGCAACATTTCTGAGTGGTTTATTGAATTCAATGATTTATTACAACCACTAAGACGAACAAGCAATCTGCAATCTGACTTCGATCCGAAGCCAAGAGCTTGAATTTATTAGCTATAGTGCTTGAAGATGTCAGGATGGAAAACTCATCCGCGACATGGGCCGTTTTTCCAGCGAGTATCATGAAAGCCATCAGTATATCAAAACGTAACTGTGTAGACCAGGTAAGAGACTAGGTAATCCAAGTTGATGGCTCTTCTCCACTTCACTGGGAAAAAACTAACAGCTCAAACCAATGTAACGTTTGAAGAACTGACGCGTGAAATTATTCTCGATGCTTTTCCAGCGATATGACCTCGTCTTTTACTAGGGCAGAAAATAGTAAAACCACTCTCTATAATAGGGCGGACGTAAGGCGGGCAGATTTTTCGTGCAGAAAACTTTTCCTTCAGTGAACTAGAGCACTTTGTCGATCACTGGGAAAAGAGGAAACTCCGTGGACTAGATCAGGGTTAGGATATAGAACATCAAATGTTTCGTTAAAACGCCTTGCAAGAAACTCGATCTCGGCTTGATCAGAAAAAGCTAGTTCACAAACAGCGGCAAAATCAACAAGAGCAGAAACAGTAAATCAACCCTGAAGCCTGCTCTATGTTATTTGATGCGAGTTTCGAAGGAACTTTCAGTTTGCATAAACTTTTCCTTTCTTTTCCTTTCTCATTTTCACTGTATTCGAATAGCCTTTCATCAGCTCTGGCTGTAAGTATTTGAATTGTCTTGAATATTCTACACTTGTGCCGATGAAAACAAAAACAAACAAAAACATTCACCAATGAGTCGCGATTGCTCATCATATCAAATATGTGGGAACATGAGAATATTCCAGCTCACTCCAAGTTATGGGAACGAACTTGGCAATCGTTCCGTGAGGACGGCCAGGGAAGCTTCACATATTACACTATCAGGCGGGTAACGGTTGGTGGAGCCCAACAGGTTATTGGCACCAAGACACTCTGTCATATCCGATAAGTGGCTTGTATAAAGTTGCAATCCCATGCCAAATAAACTTTCAAGGCACGAAGATTCACCGAGAAATCATTCATCGCGTGATTACCTTCTCCAATGGGGTACAAACGTTTACTCTTTCAATGAATGGAAATTACAGAAGAGCAGGTCAGGATAGGATTTACCTTTAGTTAGAGACGAAAGCATCTGGACGAAACTGTGCCAAATGAATCACCTCTATCACCTAACGTCCCGTTGATCATCGATTTCCTCGAGCGGGCATCAGTAACGACTCCATTCGTTCCTGTTACGAGCCAAAGTGATCCATCAATTCGTCTTCGCTTCACAGACACGAGGTCCAATATTCCTTTCGTTCAGAGCTTTAATGAAGAAGTCTAATCATCTCGTTGGTGGCCGTCCTGGAGCTCTTTTGATGTCCCGAGGGATCCAGTCAGTTACCGTCTTGGTCCAACGGTCATCACAATATCGCATAACGTGTCCGCGCCCACCGATCTTCGATTTCTTTGCGTAATCATCGGCATCCCTGATCTTCGTTGGATGACGGAGCTCGGATCTTCGGATTCCCTTGTGCACTTGCGTGTACAAGGAAATTCCGTGCATCGCCCTTTTCAGAGCGCGTGGAGTAAAGCTGACAGCATGATCATCCTACTTTTGTAGAGCCCATGTCTCTGAGGCGTATGTCAAAGCGGTAGAGACCGCAGAATCGGAAAGGTGAGCGCGGAGCCGGATGTTCTTTGTCTTCTTCACTACTCCCTTCACTTCTTAAATGCTCCCCACGCGGCGCGTTTCCTTCTGCACAGCTCCGGAGCTAGGTTGTTCATCATGTTGAATTCCCGACCTAGATACACATAGCTAGAGCATTTGGAGATATTCTTCCCGTTTAGCGTGAAGGGAGCATCGGGTACTAATCCGTTTTCCATGAACAACGTCTTCGTTAAGTTCAGTCCCAAGTCGATCTTCCTACAAACACTGCCAAACTCGATCAGCATTCGTTCCGCCTGCTCGATATTCGGTGTTATGAGCACGATGTCGTCTGCGTAATGTAGGTGATGTAGGTAGCAGCCGTCGATCATAACTCCCAGGTCTCTCCATTCCAAGAGGTCTTTCCATTCCAAGAAACGCATGACATTCTCGAGAGCGGCACTGAAATGTCTGGGCGAAATGGTATCACCCTGCCGGACACCTCTCTTCATGTTGATGATGATTTTTTGTAGAATGGTGAAATCCTGGTCGTGATGTTTTCGTAGAGCTCACAAAGCATCCTTATACAATATATTGAGTAGGAACACCCTGGCTGTCCAGTGCTGCGATTACCGCTTCTGTCGCAACGGTGTCAAAAGGTTCCTTCAAATTGATGAACGTAAGACATAACGATGTCGTCTGCGTAATGTAGGTGATGTAGGTAGCAGCCGTCGATCATAACTCCCAGGTCTCTCCATTCCAAGAGGTCTTTCCATTCCAAGAAACGCATGACATTCTCGAGAGCGGCACTGAAATGTCTGGGCGAAATGGTATCACCCTGCCGGACACCTCTCTTCATGTTGATGATGATTTTTTGTAGAATGGTGAAATCCTGGTCGTGATGTTTTCGTAGAGCTCACAAAGCATCCTTATACAATATATTGAGTAGGAACACCCTGGCTGTCCAGTGCTGCGATTACCGCTTCTGTCGCAACGGTGTCAAAAGGTTCCTTCAAATTGATGAACGTAAGACATAACGGCATTTTGTACTCCCGTGATACTTCATTGAGTCTTGTAAGAGTGGGGATATGATCGATTGCACTGAACCCTTTCCGAAACCCTGCTTGCTCACATGGCTGTCCTTCATGTAGTACTCTGCCAATCCTGTTCAGGATGACACGAGTGAAAAGCTTGTAGATTACAGACAGCAGGAAGATTGGGCGGTAGCTTTCAATATCGTCTGGATTTCCCATTTTATACAGCAGCACAGACTCGCTAGTTTTCCACGACGTGGGAACTTTTCATTCCGACAGGTGCCGCATGAAGTGCCTAGCCAGAGTTCTGGCAGTGACTGGTGGAAGACTCTTCAAATGTTCTGGTTTGGTCCTATCGGGACCGGACGCCGTACAATTCTTCATTTACTTGATGATATGTCGTATTTTGGAAGGGTGAACGGAAGGAGCGATATATTCGTCTTGCCTAAGATGGTGAGTAGGCAGGTAGACCTGGCTGTCGAAGAGATCCGAGTAAAAGTCGTAGATGAACTTCTCCATTGCCCTTCGAGATGCTGTAACTGTTCCGCCAGAACGACGAGGGGAAGTCATTTTGGTCTTGTAATTGGCGAAGCTGCGTCGGGCTTTGCGAATGCTATTTCCGGCTTCGGCAGCTTCGTCCATAACTGCTGCTCTTCTCTCTTTTAGATCTTCCTTTATCGCTTCCCTGCATACCTTCGCAATGTCGGACGTTTGTTGATGATTGCCTGTAGCTCGCGCGACTAAACGCTGACGTATCAGCTGGAGAGTCTTCGAAGAGAGTCGTCTCTTTGTTTCTTGTAGACTTTCTGCTTCTCTGTTTTCCTAGCGCTATCGTGAAGATGTTCGAAGAGCCGGTTGTATTCTTCATCGATGATGTCGATAACGAAATCTTCCCATTTACTCGAAAGTGGTCCCAGTCGATGGGGGTCTTGGGAATTTGTTTCCTGAACTTCACAGCTCTCTCTCTTCACGCACTCAGAAGCGAAGTCTAGCGTGGAGGAAACGATGGTCCAATCCCGTGTAGATCTTTGGAACAACAGCGACGTCAGCAAGGCGAAATCTCCGATTGAAGATGATGTTTTCTATTTCATTATGGGACTGTCCACCAAGTGACTCCCATGTCCATCGCAGATGAGAGGGCTTCTGGAACTGCGAGTTATCATGGATGGTGTGGGTCGACATTATAAACTCGGACAGCCTTTTACCCTGCCCATTCCATTTCATTCCGTAACTCAATATGTAAAGCTCTTAAGCTGTTTTGCTAGAGCCAATCTTGGCGAAAAAAAAAACACCGACGATGACCTTGGAGAGAGTGTGATCTTCTCTGTAGAGCCTTTCCAGATCCATATAGAACGCTTCCAACTCCTCTTCTTCGTAGCTTGATGTTGGCACGTGAGCAACGCAGATGGTTAGAGCTGGGGCTGAGCCACAGTTCTAACCATTCGCTGAGTTCTTAATCAGAAACGTCCGATTCGGGTTGTTAAGCTTTCGTACGAATCGATGTTTATGGTCTGGTGAGCATTGACGAGGACACTCACGCCGCCGACGCCTCTGCTGTCGCATGTTCCAAGGGG